AAAAAAAAAAAAAAAAAAAAAAAAAAAAAAAAAAAAAAAAAAAAAAAAAAAAAAAAAAAAAAAAGGAGTAAAGATTCTTTGTCTGTAACCTGAAAAATATTTGGCTACAGGGAGTAAAAACCATACAAATTTATCTTCACTTGTTAACCAAAAATAAAACATGACAAATATTGAACTAGCTGCGATGTGAGCTGGTATAACAACAGTAAGAAATTCAGGCAAAAGTGGTGTTATGTAAATTAGCAGCATTATCCAAACTCCTGGAAAAAAAACCTGCGGGACTGAGGTATAGAAAAAGGAAAAAGAATTCACAATGGACCTACTACAGCAAAACGAGTTATGTACACGGTAATCCACTGGTGTCCTGTGGATTGGTACAGTCTATGTGCTCCAAATGCTGGGCTTAAATTCACAGTGACTTTCATTGAAGTCCTGAATGGAAAAGGGTTTTTTTCCATTACAAACCGAGCTTCATGACGGCCTGATACCTGCCCTCCCTGCAGCAAGAAAGCCACCACTCCCAGTGGCACCACGGTGCTGGGCCAGGGCACACCCTGCTGCCAGAACAGCATCACGGGCTGGCTGCATGGGAATCCCAACAAACGAGGCCCCTGCAGCCATGCATCCCTGTCAGGGAGCATCCCGAGCTCTCCCGTGCCGTATCTGATGCGCCGTGTCCGGTGTGCCGTGTCCGGTGCGCCGTGTCCGATGCGCCGTGTCCGGTGCACTGTGTCCGGTGCGCGGTGTCCGATGCGCCGTGTCCGGTGCGCCGTGTCCGGTGCACTGTGTCCGGAGCGCCGTGTCCGGAGCGCCGTGTCCGGTGCGCCGTGTCCGGTGCGCCGTGCTCTCCCGCGCGCGCCCGGGCACAGCGGCTGCAGCCGCGCCGTCCTTGTCTGCCAGCAGCAGCTTCAGGGCAGCTGCATCTCGGGCAGGTCAGGCAGGTTGCAGGGCTGGCCCTGCGTGTGGTGGCTCTGCTGCTGCGGGTGCAGGAAGTAGCTCAAGGGGTTCTGCTGCGGGGTGTGGGGCGGCTGGAAAATGCGCTGCGTTGGAGCCCCCGGCACCAGCTCAGGACCTGGCATCTGTGGGGAGACACAAATCTGAGCAGTCAGACCTGCCCCATCACCCAGCTGTCCCTCTCCTGCTGCAGGGCTGATGATGATGCCCCAGATGTGTGCACCAAGTCCTAAACTTGAGGGTATGAGCTGTGCCCCTCAGGATGCTGCTGCTGTCAGCAAAACCAACAAAGCCTGGAGAGCACAGAGGGGAAGCAGGACCCATTTGTCCCAACAGGCTCCTGGGGAGCCAGCAGGAATGGAGACTCCAAAAGCTACTTGGAGGTACAATCTGCAGGATGTGTAACTTTAATCTTTCACTGGAAAGATCTTCAGACAACCAAGGAAGAGGTCCTAGAGTAACCATATACCCACCCATTGCTGGTACCTCAAAGACCTGGACTTGCTGTTTCACCCCCTATTAAAGGCACTGTGTCATCAAACTCTGGCTTACTGTGGCCCTGGAGCTATTCATCTGTTCCAGCATCATTATTCTGCTGTCCACACTGCTGGACCTCAGGACAGCAATGCAGCTCATGAGGACACATACCCCAAGCAGGGACAGCTCCTGCTCACATTTGCTGACAACAGCAATTCATTTCTCACTTTAAATCCAGTCCTGCTGTGTAGCTGTTTTCAACTGAACCTACTCCTCTTGCTTTCTTTTCTACTGTCTTTGCCTGGAGGACTGTAACAACCTCTGCCATCCAGGGAAGGCTTGGAGAGCGTGTTACTGATGAATTATTACTTTCAACAACCCCTTTCTTTGGTGGTGTCACTAGTTCAGCATGTACTGATGTAAATTGTGTGTTGAAAAACCAAAATTACCTTGTCCAGAGATGTGTGTTGTGAAATACCCCTTTATTAAAAGAAAGCTGTGATGGCAGCTGATAAAAACTTTGCTCTGGTGAAATGTAACAGCAGGAGGCATGTTTTCCAAAGACTTTCTTATCATTTTTCATGACTACAGCAAGCTTCCCACCAGAGCTCCTCTGGATGAAAAGCTGTGTTTGAAAAACTGGGTATTTGAAAATATGGTCTTGAGCAGGTGCAGAGTCAGCCTGGAAAGGCTGAGCACCTGGCTACGTGGAGATACAATGGGAATGGAGAATGTGCAAAGGCTGTGACCAGGTTTGATCAGTCAGACAAGCCCCATTTGTTCAAAAACCCCCAACCCATCCCAAAGCCATCCCTGTGCCTCCTCAGAGCCCTGCTTCTGCTCCAGTACCTGAAGGTAGAGGCGGTGCTGCTGAACCTGCTGCTGTGGCCACTGGTGCAGGTGAAGCTGAGTGCTGGCCTGGTGGGGAGCAAAGCTGGAGTGAGGGATCATCAGCGACGGGGAGAAGATGGGCGGCGGGGCTGGAGGGCGGGCGGCGCTGCAGGTGACCGGCTGCCCCTGTGCTGGGGGAGGCAGGGACTGCTGCTCTGCAACAAACCTGCCACAAGGAGGAAAACCAGGCATGAGAACACACGCCCAGAGCCACCCCCAGAATGGGCACTGGGGAGCCCAGCTGCTGCAGGAACCAGCCTGGAGCAGGGCTGGTCAAACCATGCAGACCTTGCTGACAGGAGACCCCCGATTCCCCTCTGCCCAAAAAGCATGGACTGGAACTACTGAAAATTAAGGGTTTAAAGGTTGTACATTTTCTCTGTGTCTTGGTCAAGCATTTTATGCTTGGCAAAAGCCAGAAAATGTTTGATTTTTTAAAATGCACTTCATTTATCATAAAGTACTTTGTAATTAAAAAATATTCTCATTTTTCTCCTAACTGACTAGACTTTACTTCAGACTGAGATGATTTGTGTTTGCAAGACCAGGTACAAATTTTTTCATGTCTTTTTCAGTGCCATAAAGTGCCCTGCTAAGACACTGCAGGAAAATAAGAGACTCACTTTCCTTGCTGCCTGCTGGCACTGCTCTGCACGGGCTGGCAACTGCTGTTGGCTGCGGGCATCATGGCTTGGATGGACTGATCCAACAGCATCCTGTGGTGGAAGGAAAACAGGATGGTCAGGGAAGGGAGAGGTCTGAGGTCCAAGTCCTGTCAATCTCTAGAAACAGCTCCTTGAAAATCCTCCATGAAAGCAAACCACTACCTTGACAACAAGCTAATGAAATAGGATGCTTCCTATCACCTCACATCTCTCCTGTGAATACATGCTGAAAAGATTGGGATTGTGGAGACTGGAGAAGAGAAAGCTCCAGGGACATCTTACAGCACCTTCTAGTATCTAAAGGAGCTAAAAGAGAGCAGGAGAGGGACTTTTGACAAGGGCATGGAGCGACAGGACAAGGGGGACTGACTTTACACTGACAGAGGGTAGGGTTAGATTCATTTATGGAAATACATTAAGAAGAGGATTTAAGGCCCCTGATGACACAGCAGGGTGTGCAGAGCACCCTGCCTGCCTGCCTGCACACTGGGCTCACCCTGCAGAGGGAACATCCCCACGCTGGCTGTAGCATCCCCAGCCCATCGCCTGAGCCCAGCCACACCTGCCCTCCTTGCTGCCCAAGTACTGCTGTTTCCTTCACTGCCCCAGGACGGTCCCAGCAGGGCTGTGGGTACCTGAGGCTCCTGTCCTGGCTGTAGTCAGCTGGAGGCTGCCTCTCACTGCTGTCAGTCGGCCCCTGTGCAGCCACAGCGACGGGGTGTGCTTGGGGGAACACCATGGGGTTGTTGTAGAAGGGCACGGAGATGCTGGCCTGCCCTGGCACACACGTTTGCTGGCCTTGGCTTCCTCTCACTGGGTGCTGCTGCTTCTGCTGCTGTACCTGGAATAAAAACACAGGTACCCACGTAAGTTTTAAAGCTCCCTAATGGAAGGATAAAACAACCATTACAGTGGGCAGATGGGAAAAGGATAAGGAACAAAAGGGTATTGTCCCTGAACACAGCAGTAGGAACAGTGAATCTATTGAAAACCACCAACCCATTAGCATTTATTGGCCCTGCAGGGCAGGTATTGGCATCCCCAGACAGTCTTTTGAGAAATTAGAGTACAAGGGTAAGGACACAAAAGGCTTGAGGAGGAAGAGAATAGCTTAACAGGGGAAGTGCAAATCTGAAGTCTCCAAGGAAAGCATCTAATTGGTCCTTTAAACCAGCAGTTTTGGCTTTTTTGTCTTTGAATAATTCAAGTCTTTCCCATCCTAATAGTGGATTTATGTCTAGTGAAGACAAAATTGTTTTTTTCAAAGCTGCCTTCCAAGATTTCTCAGGCAGAGCAAAAGTAATCTTTTAAATTTTAAAATTATACCTACTCCTGTGTTATGAAACCACAACTCTCACTGGCTATGAACAACAAGCACTGTGTTGATGAGAGCCCAGACCTCCCATTCACATCCTCCCCAGTCACCAGGAGGGCTCCAGCAGTCTCTGGGGTGTAAATGCTTTTTGGCTACCTGTTTATTTTTACAGTTGGGTGACATTGTTCACAACTGACTCCTGACACAAATTCCTCAATGCCAGCGACGCAGTAAAACCAACACAGAGGGGATGCAGGGCACCACGGGGAGGAGTGACAGGTCAGACAAGTGTTTAGAAGCTGGAAAAGGGGATGATGAAGACAATGAAGCAGCCAGTGACCTGGGGGGCTGTGCCACAGGGGTCCCTGAGGAATGGGTGCGGTGACAGCAGGTGGGTGCTGCAGCAGTGCTTTGTCCCCGTCAGGGCTGGCTGCTGTGACTTCTTGGCCGTGCTCTGCCTGGGCGTCCCCTGCGGCGGCGGCCTCCGGGGGCTGGGCTGCTGCACGGAGTTAAAGATGACGGGGATCGGCTGCTGCATCAGCATCTTGAGGTGAGAGAGGCACAGGAGTTGTGGCTGTACTGCCCGGCAGAAATAACACCGCAGCAGCAGCAGCATCTCGAAATCCAGGGGCAAAATGAACCATGAGCAACAGAAAATCAAATGTTAGCTTGTGTCAAATATTTATTCAGAGCCAGGAACGTTCCAGCTCCATTGTGCCTGCTGAGTTTAGCAGGAGTGGCAGGAGGGATCCAGCAGCACTAACCAGACATGGAACCACCAAGCTTTTTGTGCATGAGAGACTTTGGATTAATTTGGGATTGCTTTTTTTAATCATGGAAATTACTGATTCAATACTCAGCCAGATATTGACATCACTCATCTCTCGGGAAACACCACTCCCACATCTGAAACCAAGTCACCAATTTGTCAAAAGTTCATTCCCGAATGATTTCGCCACAGACAATTTTGTTACTGCTCTGTGTGCTCAAAGGAAAAGCAAATGGCTGGTGAGTTTGGGAGCACCAGGGGCAGCAGGTACCTGCAGGTTGGAGTCCTGCACGAGCTGGAGCTGCTCCTTGATGACATGGAGCTCCTCTTGCTGTGTTTTGATGTCAGCTTGCAGGATGCGAGTCCTCTCCTCCAGCTGCTCTTTCAGCTGGTGCATCATCCCCAGCTGGGTGGGGAAATGGTACAAGGGCTGCAGAGAATAGAGAAAAAGGACCAGTCCTGCCACTCACATCCATAGCAATGCTGCATTCAGAAAAATGACTGCTTTTCAGCTTTTGCCATAAAAAATATGATGCTGACAAAATCACAATTGCATATTTAGCAAAAGTGCCACTGTAGTTCCAGAGCAGCAGCACATCTGGCTTACACGCAGTGCCTCCCTCCAGGTGTTGGTCTCTATAAATTCTGCATAGATGAAGTGTCTATACACAGGACTCTCCTGTCCCCTCAGGATAACACCCTGCTGTTTGGGCCCACTTGTGTTTTGTGGCAGACTGTATCCAAACCCATGCCACACCTCCTGGCTGGGCTTTCAGTTGTGCTGCTAATGATATCTGGCAGATGCCAGGCCCAAGTTAGGCTGCAATCCCACCTGGGGATCCTTCCTTCACACCTACACTGGCCATTTTCAATCTCTGTTTTATAGTCTGAACATTTACTGCACTGACATCAAAGCCCTCTAAGGACAGACAGACAGACCTTGTCATTATGGTTTACAACTCATTTTTCTTGGGGTTTTTGTTTTCTTATCTTTTCCTGGCCTAACTCAAGCCTTGCATGACATCCCCTTCCTCTGCTAAACTCTTCAGCATTGTATTGGCCTGTAAGTAGCTGCTAGAGATTCAGGGAGAAGCCTTCAGCAGCCCACGACACTTTTTACAAGTGTAAACCTTCTCCTGTGTTATTTCTTTGAGTGCCCCACCTGCTCTCTCTGCTTGCTGAAATAAGTGGTTGCAATAAGGCTGTTGCAGGTAAATCTCAGCAACAGAAAGGGCAGAGAAGCCTTGTCCCCATTCTGGGATGAGCCAGCAAGATGTGAGGGCAGTGAACCAAAGTCACCAAGGCTGCTCTGCTGACAGGACACACCAGTGCACTTAACAAAAATAAACCACATACCACCACAGGGTGCTGGGAGGGCACTGCCAGCTGAGCCACGGGGTGCTGAGAGGGGTGCTCACCATGGGCTTGAGGAGTGGCTATAGCCTAGAAATGAAAACTCTGCCTTACTGTAGGTCCACAGCACCTCTAGTGCAGAGCTGGTGCTTTAACAGCTCATACCAGGGATGAACAAGTGCAGGGAACTGGACAACTGGGATTGGAAAACTGAGGATGAGTCTGAAGGGAGAATTTAGGTTCCTGCATGCCCCTGAGAATTTCAAGTCCGTGGTGTCAGCATCCATTTTGGATAAAGGCCATCTCACGTGTACAAACCCCAAGAAAAGACGGTTGGTGGTGTGAAAAGGCATCTAGCCTGGAGGAGCAAACTGAATTCTGAAAGAAGGCAGCAGAGAAGCCTCTAGTGTCTCTCCTCTGGCTCTGCCAGCCAGTGGCACTCCCAGCACCCCCAGAGTGTGGGATCCAGCGTCTCTGAGGATGAGGTCAGTGCTTGTCTAGCTCATTTCACTACAGGCTGAAAAGGCTCCTGCTGCGGAGCACTGACCTGCGCGCTGCCGGCCGCTGCCAGCCGCAGGGCGGCCTTGTCCCCCGGCGCCGCCGGCACCGCCGGCCGGGTGGGAGTGCTGGTGTCTGTGCGCCGCAGGGACGACGTGGCTGCGAAAGAGACATTCTCTGTCACACAGCAAACCCCTGCCGGGGCACCCTGGCTGAGCCTGAAATCCACGTGTGCAGCCAGGCAGTGACCCACACATGCCAAAGTGGGTCTTCAACCTGCCCCTCTACGGGCAGTTTGGCTCTCTGCCCCTCTATGATCCCCCTGGCTCCCACCTCACTTGCTGGGCTCCCTCCTGATGCTAACCCCCATATTCAGCCGGCCCTCCATGGCTGTATCCAGATGAGATCGTTCTCCCCACGGCAAGTATCTCAAGAAAAGTCCCCTGAGTTTCCTACTCATGGTCACACAGGGCACTTCAATCATCTTGCTGCCTCCCGCAGGGGAAGGAGGGCACTGATGGGAACTGGGATGAAGCTGCCAGCCAAGGCAGGCATCCTTCTGTGCTCCTTCTGCAGGGATTTCACATGAGAGACCCCATAATAAAATTATATTATCCCAACATAAAACTTTCATCAGCGAGCTTGGTTCAATCAAGCTAGCGAGCCACATCTTGTCCCCAGAACCACAGCGAACAGCCATGACCCTCAGCTGGTGACAAGCCGCGAAATCGGCTCTCACAAGAGAGGAGGCGGCAGGTGGCCGCGGCTCTGCTGCTGCTCTGTCACTTGTCACGACACGGCGTGTCGCTGCCAGCGCCGAGCACTGCCCTCCCACCCCGGTGACCGCCGGCCGGAGCCCGGCGCCGCGGAGCCGCTCCGCCGCAGCACGTACAGGTGGAGTCGGACAGCGTGGTGTGCGAGGAGCGCCGGGAGCTGTGCGAGGACAGCGACACTCCCTCCCGGCTGGCGTCCCGGCCGCCGCACGGCCCCACCTCCAGGTAGCTGCTGTGGCTCTGCGGGAGCAAGCACAGGCGGTGAGACCGACAGCGCAGGGAACGGCCCGGGAAGGGCTCCCCGAGCCCGTCTGCACACAAACCCAGCGGGCTGGGCTCGGACCGCGCCGCCCGGCCGGCCCCCGGCACCCCCGGGCACTGCGAGCACAGCGGAGGGTCGCTCCGGCCCGGGGATGCTGCCCGTGCACTCTGCTGGGCCGGCCCCCTTCTCCCCTGCCCGCGGGGGCACCAGGAGACCGGCTGCTGCCAGCCTCTTCCTGCCCGACCTCCGCAGGGGTGCCGCTGCTGCGGTGCCCGGGGGGCGGTGACAGGGGAATGAATGAAGGTGGCCGGGGGCGCTACCTGGGGAATCCTTTTATCCATCGAAGAGATGGAGAGAGATGGCTGGGAAGGGACAGGGAGCAGTGGCATGGGCACATCAGCTGGAGCCCCAAGAGGACCTACAGCAAACGTCTCCTGACGGGGACAGGGACTGGGCAGTGCTGGGAGCTGCAGCCCCACTCGCTGCTCCTGGGCAGCAGCGGCTCCAGCAGCCTGCTCTGGGCAGGACTGGGCAGCCTGAGCTCCCATAAAATAATGTCTGAACAGCAATGAGGCTGACGGAATAACAACTACACTCCAACCCACTTGGAATTACTTTGATTGATGGTCTTATCTGTAAACTACCAAGAGGAGAAACTCAAAAGTAGTGAAAATGACCCTGTTACTTGGGCTGGTGTGTGGTGATGCCAGACTGACTCAAGCCATGGAAATTATTGCTTGTGGAAGTTATAGGTCACAATCCTACACTTGGTGTGATCCAGCAACTAAGCTGAAATTTTGGTGTTTTCCCTTGCCTTCCCATCTTCATCTGAGTATCAGTGATGAGCTGGCACAAGAAAAACAGATACCCTGTGGTACTGCCCTACTCTTGGATCCTCTGTGCCTTACTAAGGGTGACAAGCACAGCAATCTGGTTTCCAGCTCTACTTCTCTGCCTCTGAGCTGAGGTGGTTTAACCTGTCATTTGTATCATGGTCTCAGATAGATTACAGGGACCAGAACAGAGCAATGCAACTCCTGAATTCACAGCTATTGTGGAATCAGAGAATGTTTGGTTTACAGATCATCTAGCTTCAATCCCCCTGTCATGGAGAGGGACATCTTCCACTAGATCAGGCAGTTCAAAGCTCATCCAGCCTGTCCTAAACCAACAAGGACAATTTGGAGCCATGCACCAGAAAGCTTCTTAGGGTCTGCCTGAGTCATAACCCAGCTCAAGGCTTGGAATGAAATGGGAGCAAAGAAAAGGGAGAAGAACAGATATTTTCTTTAGATTGGTAAGCTATTACTCAGGCTGGTTTAAACATCTCCTCATTCAAATATGAAGGAACAAGGTACCTTTAGAGAAGAGGATGCCAGTTCAATTGATGACTCTTCGAGGCCAAGATCTCGCCTTCTCTCAGCCCGAACTTCTGCATAACTAAAAAAAACCCCAAAACCAAAACAAAACAACAAAACAAAACAAACAAAAAAAACCCACCAAAACAAAACAAAAATCAACAAAAAATTATTTTACAGCTTCTGTGCAGGTAAGCTGCCACAACAAGTGTACATTCATTTTATAACCTGGTGATGATGAACAAGCATCCCATTTTTGCATGGTAGTTCAGATCCCTATGACAATTCCTTGGGCAGGATGAGGTCAGGTCCCTCCTTCTGAGGGTGCACAGAGCTGTGCATGCATCAGAGCTAACATCCTGCACTTCAGTGGAGGCTCCAAATGCAAACAGGCAGCTACACAGGTACAATGTAGGAACTGCAAAAACCCCTACAAGTTGCTTCTGGAATTGTGTATTTTCTTCCCTTACTTTTTCCCTCTGAAATAATGAAATATTTACAGTAACAAATGCCACATGATTCACTACTGGGATAAATTAGAGAGGATGTTTCAAAGACTCTCTGAGTGCTCATGCATTGTAGGCACTGAGAAGTGTCAGACTTTAGGGTGATGAAATATTAATGAGCTGCAACCTTAGTGGGAAGCAAGAGAAGTTGCTGAACCGACCTCACTTATGTCATTGTGGCAATGAATTTTCCTGAAAGAACATTTTAACTTTTGTGCTTCAGTAACATATTTTAAGTCTTAACTATCTGAGACAGAACTGAACTTCAAATCTCTTTAGGACTACACTGTTAGGTTTAAGAGGCACTGGAAGCAGAAAGAAGAAACAAGGGCATGTACAATAAATTCAGCCCTTAAAATGAAGCTGAATTCCCTGAAGGATGGCAGAAGTAAGACAACTGAGAAGTAATCTCTCTGTGTAATATTTGCTTATGTTAACACTTCATATGTAGTTTATACCACAGATCATAGAATCAATAGAATTTGTGTTGAAAGGGACCTTAAAAATTATCTGTTTCCAAGCCCTCTACTGTGGGCAGAACACCTTCCACTAGACCAGGTTGCTCAGGGCCCCAGCCAACCTGGCCTTGAATATTTCCAGGGATGGGGCAGCCACAGCTTCTCTGGGCTTGCAGTACCTCACCATTCTCACAAGGAAGGATTTCTACCTAAGATCTAATCTAAACCTATCTCTGACAGTTTGTAGCCATTCCCCCTTGTTCTACAACTCCATAACTCCTTCTCTAGCTCTCCTGGAGCTCCCTTAGGCACTGGAAGAAGCTTTAAGGTCTCTCTGGAACCTTTTCTTCTCCAGGCTGAACAACTCCAGCTCTCTCTTCCTGTCTTCACAGGAGAGGTGCTCCAGCCCTCTGAACACCTTCATGGCCCTCCTCTGGCTCACTCCAACAGACCCATATATTTCATATTTACTAGTGTTTGCTCTTCCAGATGTTTGACAGAAAAAAATTGATTCTTGACAGTACAAAAATACAGTGAACAATATGTATACTCAAGTTAATAGAGCAAACCAGTGTGTCACTATTTTTCCAAGCCCTTCAGAAAATATATTCTTGCTCTTCACATTGTCTTTTTTGAGACAGCTGTGCTAATCCAGTAGATTCCCCTCTGCATTCACAGAGCATCCTACACATGCACTAACCTCCAGCACGGGCTGAAACTCAGCACAAGCAGCTTCCCACTAGGGGGGGATCCAGGGCTGGATTTGGGTGAGGAATAAAGCCAGCAAGCCAGCAGCTAACTTCAAGTCATAAATATTTAAAGCTCTGATCAAAAGGTTTTGTAGGAGTTATGTGATCTCATTCATGCCCAGAAAGATGTCTGATTCCCAACAGCTTTAATTCTTTCTGTGGCCATGTCATCACTAGGGACAAAAGGGGAATGCAACACACTGATGGATTTGGGCAAAGCTGGCTTCCAGACTTTTGCTTATTTGGTTAACACGAAACAGAACTAGAAAAAGCAATGGCTGTACACTGAGACGTGACACCCTGTGGAGAGTTTGGTGCTTGCTCCTACCTAACTACCAGGTGAGTGCAAACGATGAACTCAGGCTTGGAGTTCCACTGGTGGTAGGTGATGTAGTAGTGTGTCTGCAGCCATATCCACTGCTGCCCTTTGGTCAGGAACCGATAGTAACAGGATTTGCCTTTTCCAAACTGCATCACTGTTGAACAAAACGAGAAAGCAATTTATAGCAAACAGGCATTTTATGGTGCAAAGGTGATCTAATCACCATTCAGTCCCACACCCCTCTCCCAGACTGGGGCAGTGCTAAAATGGTTCTTGAGCTTTAGAAACAAGACAGATGATACATAACCATGTACTCAGCTTTTGTTTGGGGTCAATTCCTGCTGACTTTCAGGAGTGCCCTTTGCTAGTTTGAGATTTCTCTTATAACTGATATAACTAGCTACATTCTTATAACTTATAGGCTCCCTGAAATAAGCATAAACAACACTAATTAAATAAATTATTTGCCTTTCATAAGTACATGAAAATGCATTTCAAAGACTGAAGATGTGAAGTAAGAATCCTAAAAATGGCATAAAGCAACAAGATAGTGGAGTTTTAATTGAGGGGTTTCTTTTAAGACCTGGCCTACTCCAACCTGGTATGTATTATCAGGCTATGTCCAGAAAAATTCCAGGTGCTGGAAAATAGTGGGGGGAACTATGTTAAATAACCACACTAATTGTTCCAGACTGCTGGGAGTACAAAATGAAACATGCTCACCTAAAGTACCTGCAATTAATGCAAAGTAAAATACAAAATTTTTTACAAAGTAAAATGACAAAAAAGGAAGTCAGTCCTGATATTTTAACAAAATAGAGGTGTGCAGGTGAGTAAAAAACCACTTGGGTTAGTGTGGCTTGCTGGGTTTCTGTTTGTCATGTTGACTCTTTGGGCAGACATCTTGCCTACTGTCCAGTGAAATGGGTTTGTTTAAACCATGTTCACACATTAGCCTGAACTTGACTCTTCTGCTTTGTTGTTTTCCTTTCAGGTTGACCAAGCATGAACCATCTTCATCCACAAGGAAACTGTGTTCAGTACTTTTGTATGTAAAGTAATTCTGAATCTCCAGAAGCATTTTAGTAATGAGTAAGTGAGGTTCACAACACCTAATTGTACAGGCAGATGATCCAAATGATGCTCTCAAAAGATGTTTTGGTGAGCTGAGCCTCCTGGCTAACTCCAGAGCCCAGGGGAATGGCAAGACCCCATGAACTGTGACAAATCAACAAAACTCACAGGGTAGAGGGGGGATAATTCTGACTCCCAATCTTTTAATCTCATTTCACTCTGAAACAACCTGTGCTCAAACAAGGTATCTACCAATTTAGGAAACTTGCACAAAGAGTTCCTGATCTGAGGGAATTCTCAAGATTCCAACCTCCCAGGTAAGTGTCAGCTCTGACAGTCTGCCATGGAAAGGGAGAGTTCCCTCATGTTCCCGATGAAATCTTTTGTAATGACAGCAAAAGGTTTTGCACAAGTGACAAAAGAGATCAGAGACAGACACATTGCAGAGGCAGTGCAACTTACAGTGTTCATGGCACCTAGCAAGAAGCTCCAGGTCATCTGCGTGGTAGTAATCATACCCTGATGTTCCCAGAACCTCAAAGGGTAAATACCCTATAATAGGTGGAGCCCTAGAAAGGAAGCAAAGGGGAGGGAGTGAGCACAAAACCTGACACTTTGACATCCTGGCAGATAAGCTGTGATACCAGCAACAAACACCCTCGTTCACTTGGCAGGGAAATCTGGGGTGGATTTTCTTATATGCAGTGATGCATTCTCATACACAAACAAAAAACCGACAGCAAGGGAGAGGTAAAAATTGAGAAAATGAAAAGGTGTGTGTTTACTGTTTCACAGCCTATTCATTATGTGGGTGTAGAGAAAGGCATGTACATATGTGAGTGACTCAATTCATTAAGGATGCTTGTGAGACACAGCTTGAGAAATGCTATGGCTGATCCTGCACATAACAACTTGGAGCCAGAGTACAATTATCCAGGAGGCTGGATGTAAGTGTCATCTGGATAGTAACTGTAGAAGAGAGAGTAAGTGGGAAGCTGCAGTGTGTGTCAGGACCAGCTTGGGAAAAAGTAATTGCTCCCCTGGAAAATCTTGGGAAACTGTAGCAACAAAACTTTCCGTGCTAGTAGTACAGACAGCAATAGGCATGGGGCTGATTTAAGGCTGATTTTGCTTTGGTTGGTAGAGAAGGAATTGAAGTGTTTAGATAGGCATGTTGCAATAACTTACCTCACTGTTCTGCTATCAAGTCTAGATTATCCTTTTTCTAGGCAAAACATGAAATATTTTTAAAGCAGGTATCCTAACACAGCCTTCACCAGAGCCTGATAGCTTATGATTATGAAACAACACTGAAACGTGGGGAGAAAACCACTGGTTTTGTCTCTGCTCCTGTATCAGCACGTCACTCTCCATCCCCCAGTGCTCAGGTACACTCCTGCCCCAAGCACTCAGCGAGGCAGGACCTGTGCTAACGTGGCTGCAGGATGTGCTGATCGTGTCCACCTGAAGTTCAGTGTGCTCCTCAGGAATAGGGCAAAATTTAAATAACTCAAAACAGGGCAGGCTGAAGGCAATGGTGCCCATCAAACCTGCCTCTCCTGCTCAGTTGAGTGCTCTTAAGGAAGAAGGCCATAAAGTGGCCAAGACTATGAGGAAAAAGTTCTTTCAGTGGTTTGGATGTATCAATCATGAGTTTCTTGATTATTACTGTGTGAAATTCTCTCTTGGCTGAGCCACCCAGCTCCACATTTTTCCTTTTGAGAGACACAGTGGCCATAGGTTATTCAGCCACAGAGAGCCCAGGCAGGTCTATAACCTCCCTCCTCCCCACAGCTGTGGGCAGTCGGGCACCAAGAAATGGGGGAGAAGGACAATCTGCTAAACAGCAGTCCCAGGAGGGGCAAGGTGTGAGCAGGAGCTCCTGAGTCCCAGCACAAGGGGTCAGCTGGGAGAGCCAGGCCTCCACTTGACAGCAAATCCCTTGGAACAGAATGTGCTGAGCACACAGGGGTCTCTGTCACAATACAGCTTCATTTATTTAAGTAACTTTTCATAGCACTCTGTTCCTTTTCCTCATGTGACCCAGATTTCTGTTAGTGATGATAATATGTGTATTTATTAAAGTGTCCTTGCTGTGTCTTTGGCAGAATGCATCACTGTTTCTCCTATTTTTAATGCCATACTCATATTCAAGACAATAGTGTCTTTCAGATGCACATCAGATAAACATTTAAACTGATCAGGAAAGTATTATGCTTTCCTGAATATCACCAGAGTTCTTCATAAGAGAAAGCAACCACCACAAAATGCTCCTCATCTGTCATTTAACAGGAGATGCCTTGTGGAGCAATTTAAGTGTCTTGTTAGCTTAAGTTCTAGCCTTGAGATCTGCAACTTGCTGTGCAAATGGGAATGCACAGTCTTTAGAGAGCCTTTTGGGTGCAGTCTTTTAATTAATGAAGGGAAAATAAGAACAGTACCACAGTGAAGAAGAGAAACAGATAATTTTCTAAGCCAATGGGTTTCTCTTCCTCTACACATATGTACATATATACCCAGAATTCAGATTTTTCCTATTTTTCTCATGTTTATCCAGATCTATGGAATGTTTTTATTGCATCTGTCTTTACTTTGATTTGAATTGTGATCATGACAGCAAAGGTCCTGATTCCAGTTTCCAGTTTCTGCTGGGTACCCTCTGTCCCTCAGTGTCAGGCAGCCTGCGGTGATGCAAATCAGCAAGAAAGAGCAACATTTCCCAGTGCCCTGCAGATTGTACTGGAGAGAGCTGTGATTAAATGAGACAACTCCCACGATCTCCTGCTCTTTCTTGGGTCTGAGCTCACTGCTTGCATCTGGAGCTGTCACAAACTCTGCCTCAGCATTATCTTTATTTTCTCTCAGTAGCAATGCCTTCCTCTCTGGGATATCAGTGGGACTGGAGCGTCTGCAAGCACCCAGCACAGAGATTCCCCTCTGAGTCATCACCCAGCTTCATCAAAAGACTCTTTGACACGTTTCAAAGTAGCTCCTCCTCACCTTTTTCACAGGAGCTGCTGGGACACAGCCCTGTGGAAAAGCAGCTCACTTCATCAGTGACGTGAGGGGCTTAGGGCTCTTTTACAAATCTTAACATTAATCAGCTGATTCTAAAAAGGTGCATTATCAGGCAGGCCAATTAAAGTCTAACAAAGCCACTCCAGCAAGATCTCATCTCAATTAATAATTATCTGACTGTCCTAAACTACAAATAATCAACTGTAGGGCTGTCACAGGGCCAGCTCCTCCTTGCTTCAAGGCATGATGTGAGGCACACATCTTGTGTTCTATATAAATGAAAGTTATTACTCATTTGTATTTGCTCTCTCTTTTTCTTGCTCTAAATGTGGAGATGGTTTTTATATTTTTTTTCCTCGTCAATATATTTTTTCCTTAGAGCCTTATCTACTAGTCTTCTGTTTCAGTAAAGACTACCTTTGCACAGCTCACAAGGGGAGGGATAATGAAGAAGGCAGGATTTTGCTTATGCACATATGCCAAATACAGAGAAGTAAGAGAGTGAATAAAACCCTCCAGCTTCTTTTGAAGAAAATTAATCCTGAATTAAGCAGCTTAATAAACTGGTTCCAGTCTGTTTCATTCACCAAGCCCACCACATAGAATTTCTAAAAACAAAATAAAAACCAGTGGATTTTATTATTAAATTGTAGATTAGTTTTTGACAATACAATCATTTCTCAAGGTGAAAAGTCAAAAGTTTGTTGACACAGCAAAAGATTTAGGATTCCTGGAAGCTGCAGTTGAAGAACAAAGGAGCTAAACCAATATGGGAAACTTATTAGGACCCACACTGCTCACTTTCAATGACTTATTATCTTGGCTAAGAGATAAATATTCTTCTAGACATTTTCCATGTTTCTTACTTGCCTAAAATATGGAAAATAGTGAAGCGTTTAAGGATGCCTAAGAGCTAAGTTCAGAGTATTGCTACTTACTAAATTGCATGTAATTAGAACTATTCCATTTGGGATCTCAGGCAATAGGTACACAAAGCTTTCTATTTTTAAACTACAGTTTATTTATTCTTCAGGGACTAAACCCAAATATCTTACCTGTGGTCCAAGAATAAAAACTTCCATTCTAAACTATGCCTTGATGTAAATTCTTCACATGGCTCTTCAACGTTGCAAAGCTCCTGCAAAATAGCGGATACATTCAGACATTTAATTCTATGAAATGACAAAAGTGCCTGCTATCAAAACCTAGCATGCATCTTTTTGCTATAATAAACCACAGCAAAACACAGTGCTTTTAAAGCACTTAACTTATTTTTCTCTAAGGAATGTGTAAGACTTGATTTACAGATGCATGAACTGATGAAAAATGGCTGAATAGTTTACCTTGAGCTGAATTTCAGAGCTAAGATAAATAGTCAGAGAGTCTCGTCTTGCACTCTCCAGGCAAAATTCCCCAGTTTTTTGCAAATACTGGTATTTGAATATGGATGACAGCTCCAAGTCCAGCCTCTACCTGAGCTGGCTAATGCCCCCTTGAGCAAGCAGCACCAAGGGCTGCTATCCCTGCACCAGTGCCATGGGACATTTACAGCCCAGCAGGAAGAGGCCAGGACACAAATTTTCAGTGTTTGAAGATGCAGATGACTTCCTTACACAAAGGAGTGGTGGATGCACATCTCTGAAGGCTGCAAATTCCCAGGTGGTGTAAGCTGGTCACCTTGTCCTGGAGCTTCCTAGGCTGCCCCCTCTAAGACACCCCATCACAAAACCACCTCTTCTCAAAAGCAGCTCCAGCTTTGTACCTTATCTTTCCAAAATACAGACTTATGCCATCTGCCACTGCCAGCCACAGCCACGTGCTCTCTCCTCTCCCCTCCCTGGGCTGCTGTCCCTGCTGCCAGCCCGGGCTCACCTTTAGGAACTGTGGTGTGACCAGCCGAACAGTCGCCACCAGGCAGATCTGCTCCTCCGTGGCCGCCCTGAAAGCCCGTGCAATAGCTGACTCAAAGCCATTACAGGAGGGTGTAGGCACTGCAAACAACCAGACAATTGATTTAAGAAGAGGAAGGAGAGGTTTCTTCTCCTGTTAAGGCAGGTACAGTGACTGAAGAAACCCAAGCAACAAACTCCTCCTGCCCACAGGGTGCTGCCACACTGATGTTATTGAAAGCACGACCCTTTAGGCTCCAAGCTGCTGTAACCACCTACCCATGGCTTGCAGGGGAGCTTTGCAAGACAGCTTGGAGCAGCTCACAGTGTGCAGCTGCAGCCTCCTTGTCAGCCTTTCTCCAGGCCAACATTTGCAAGATTCAGGATTTTACAGGCACCTCAAAGTACTTAATCTCTGTAAAGTGTCACTTCACTGCCACAAGTGAAACAGAATACCGTGTATTTCCGGCTATTTGAATAAGTAGGCTGCTTTACAATTGGCAGTGGGTCAAACAGAGGCATTTTCAGTCTAGCATCAGCTTTAGGCACAACGTGCAGAAGATTGATCAACAGATTCCCCACCACTTTTGTATGAAAAATATATCGAATGTATGTACAGCTCATTCCATCCCTGACAATTATGGGGCATTTTCAGCAGAAACAGGGCCTTTAAGATACTACAGATCAAGGCAATTTAAAGGAGAGAGGTGGAGAGACAAAGGTAGGCTGGAACAGTAACTTACCATGAGTAAAATATTTAAAATCCACTACAAATTTCACATATTCATACATCAGGGGTTCATTTGGATCTAAGCTGCCTCTTGCTAAATGGCAACAAAACTCTATTTGTTTTTCTGCTGAAATGAGAGAAAGAGAGGGAGACACAGACAATGTTATTAGAAGTCTGCACTTTAGCTCTCTCACATATTTAATTTATCTACCAAGTGGTACCTGAGCACACCCTGCTGGGAAGCATCTGATACCCAGAAGTAAATATATAACTACTAGGAGCAATTATCATGTTTCTTCTTGAGGAAACGTATTCTCACCCTTTTTTCCTGCGTTTGCAGTCACTCCAGTAAGCTGAGTGTGAAGCCCTGGCTGTACTGGGTCAGCAGGATTTCCCCTGCTGGATGCAGGATTTCATACAGAGCAGTTACATGGTATTGCAGAACTCTGCTCTGGCACTGCTCAGTCAGACCAAAGGGCACTGAACTCACCCTGAGCCCTTCCATTAACAGTGGAGGGCACTGTGCCAAGCTCTAATCCAGTTTTCTGCCCCAAGTCTGAACTCTATGGATTAGACCACAACCTGAGGGAAACCACCCCCAGGCAGAGCATCACCAGGCTGCTCAGGGCATCACCAGGCTGCTCAGCTCCCAGAATTGCTCAGTGGCCTTGCCAAACCACTGGGAAAAGGGTGCAGGCTCAGCACAGGCTTCATGAAACACAGGTGTTGGGAAGATGCTGCTGCCTGCTCTGGTCCTGAGGACAATTTCTGTGGGGAAGGGACATGGGACAGTAGCCAGCAGTACAGATCCAGATGGATTGTTCAGATAGGAAGGCTGTTCCTTAAGTTACATTAGGGCTTTTCTTGTGTCCTGAGACATGCAAGCTTCCTAAGGAATAATGGTTCTGCTAAAACTGTTTGGGATTTCTCCAAATTTTTTTCCCTTGAGCCCTCACTCCTTTCTCAGGGTTAAGTCTAGTATCCCATCTGGGAAAAAGCATCTACTATCTAAGGGGCAAAGCAAATGGTAAAACAAAGACTGTCCTAGCCAAAGAGCAAGTACTGAGAGCACGTAGGAACATTAGAGATGTGATGCACTAAAACCCACAAATGCAGCAAAACAGAAGTGGCAGGCAAGAGCCAGCTGGAGATCTCTGAGCAGACTTACCTCTGGCAAACTTCTCTGACCGACAGACAAGAGAAGAGCTTACCATTTAGAAAATCAGCTGCAACAGGATCTGTCATGAGCACGTGTGGAGAAAGGAGCTTGTACACCTCGCTCTGCTCCCCCTCAGGCAGAAAGTTCAATATATTTTGGTCCACCAAATCTGACTGATACAAAAGAATGCTTTGTCATGTTCAGCAGTACAGCCTGACACAACCACATGCCTTTTCCCCCTCAGCAGAGCACAGACACTGCCAGTCTTGTGTGGATGCCTAAGACAAGGAAGCCCAGTCAGTCTGCAGATGGATCTGGGGCAGAACGTAACCCTTAGACTGTTTTACCCCAGGATTACTATCTATTTGCAAAAAGTTGATTGAGTCACAGATGTTGTCCTTCAGTTCAGACAGATACAGGCTGGAGAAGAAACCCTGGTACCCCAGCAATATAACATGATGAGAAGTGAAACATTTTTCTTTGAAAGCATGACACAGAAGAAGGGGAGCTCCTCCCTACATCCTCCATTTATCTTCGAGGCTGAACATTGGCAAAATCAGCTTGACCTTCAGGTGATTCAGTGCTCATCAACCCACACATCCTGACTAAAGGGGTTCTGCCAAAATGTCAGCACAGATTTGTTCTTTGCACACATGACATTCAGGTAACTGCATGCCTGAGTTTTCCCTCATATAGGGCATCCTTGGTGCTTCATGCTTGGCACCAGATACAGAGAAAAATGTTTTTGAGGGGCCAAGCTGAAATTTCTGCATCTGACAACTAACTAGTTTCTGGAAGTTCTCCTAGAAAACTCTGAGGCCACACATTTGTCACTAAATACTATGGTCCCAAAGTAGAAAACCCCAATGTCATTCAAAGAGCATAGATACAGTTCTGAAATAATATTTACATTATCTAAGAAGAGCTCCAGCATTTATTTCACAATCATAAGATTTTCCATTAACCTGGTGGGTCAGACACCTCCAGACCTTTAGATGGACAGCCAAGTGATGAGCTATGAGCACAGTGATTTTGCATAGCTGGGTTTTTTTAAGCTAACTCACAGACCCTGGGAGAGAATCTGTTATTCACAGGAACTTGAGAAACGCCACAAGAGTTTCTTAATTGACCTTCCACCCACAGTCAGTTCCCTCTTTGGTTGGACAAAACCAATCCCCAGCCCTGCACTGACTGATTGACACTAAGAGGGGAATGAGCCTTCAGTGTAGTGCATGGGCAGAACGTACCGGTAAGTGTCCCAGCAGAGATGAAACACTGTCAGATACATAAATTATAATCCCATCAGTGGTAAGAGCAATGAGAAAGCCATCTAGTGCCTAATGATAATAGGCAGAAGAAAAACAAAAAAAAAAGAAAAAACAAATCAAAGCAGTATTATGCAATGGAAAAACTTAAAATATTTTCGACTCATTGATTCTTTAGTGATGCTTCTAACAGCTTAAACCTAGCAGAAATTAGTCAAAGAAATTACATTCAGTGTGGAAAAATAAAAATTACACATGCTGTCTAATTCAACATTCTTTTTATATTCTTATTTTCTCATTCTCATTATTATTAAATTGACTTGTATTTTTCACACAGTGAGCATTTATTTAACATGAAGTGAGACAATGATGCTTAGAATTTCAACACCCACACAATCCTGCTGACTTCAGTCACTTCATTATGTGTTCTGAATTACACAATAGTTAACAAACTCGGTGCGTAAGATGTCAGATATCATCGTGGCAAATACAGCTTTGTGGATGGATAGATGGATGGATAAGCAGAGACAGAAAAATTATACAATGATGTATTTTTAGCAGTTTATGGACAACATGAAAAAGATCTAAAGCCTTATTTATTTTGCTTAAAGCACTGATTTGCAAGGCTAGTGACAAAACAATTTTAAGGCTTGTTTTGTTTCCCCTTTCTCATTTGCAGTGGTTTCTGTCCCAGAGTTAAACCTCTCTGTCCCTTTTAAGTCACTGTCTGTGCCTTTCCCCTTGGATGTTGTGTTCTCCCTATTCTTTACAATATCTCCTTGTACCATTTATACAGTATCTGTCCTTATTTTTCTCTAACATCGAGATCTGGGAGGTTTAATAGCTGGTGAGCACTGTGCACAAAGCCAGCTCTTCTGAAGACACAGCTCTGCAGCTTAGCTACAGGGAGTCAAAGATGCAGCATTCACCATCTCCCCCACCTCACTGCCAGACTCTGCCCTTGCTCAAACTGAGTCCTCTCTGGAAAAAACCCACTGATTTTAAGTAAACTGTTCAATGGTCTACCAGAGTCTGGCAAGCCAGCAGTTATTAGAGGGTTTGCTCTCCCCCACCACTTCCAACCTGAGGGGGGAATTTGTTTTGATTCAGCTGGAACAAGCTAGCTCGTTTGGCAAGAGAGATTCCCAGAAAGAACGAACAGACTTTTCCACAGAGGTGAGTCATGACATCCTGATGAAAAGGAGTAACTAAGACACAGCAGCACCTCCCAGCTCAGCCCAGCATACTCCCTTCTTTTGGTGGGGCAAAGAGCAGCAGCTGCCCACGCAGGGCAGGAGATGTCCCTGCCAGAGGAGCATGCAGCACAGACCCAGAGCCACATCCTTCTGAGGGGAGAAATGTGGGTTTGGGGGATGTTTCTAGATCAGCAAAGCATTTTAGAGGTGGGAGTATAAGAGCTGTTTTCCTGAATGCACTTCAAGGCAATTCAAGCAGAAGAAGACAGCAGCACACAGGCAGCAGCTGCAGAGGCAGCACAGGCAGTGCTGCCTGCCTAATGAGATGTGGGAGGATCAGAGCTGCTCTGCTTTTTCCAGGTCCTTTCAAGTTTTTCCTAAAACTGCCAGCTCTAGTGACTCTTCTGAGAAAAGAAAATTCTCTTTTTCCTCTTTCACCAGGCCAAATCAACCTTGATTCCCTAACGAAAAGCCATTTATTTTTAAGGGGAAGCAATCTTATTTTTAATTCTCTGTTTGAAAAGCATTTAGTACAACATTGGTCTCTGTCAGGTGTATGTGCCAGCAGAGTAGAAATCATTAACATTGGGACCTACAGGTGAAAAAGAACTGTATATCCCTGAACTACTCCACTGAACTGATTATTTCTCAGTAATCTATTTAATTTCTTCTTACCTCTAACATCAACTGGGTGAACTCCTCGTTGCTAAGAAATGAAGGCTTCCAGTCTTGTCTAATCTGACAGGCTTCTGTCTGTGCTGTGATTTCTTAAAGAGAAAATATCAAAAAAGCAACATGACTCATGCTACTTGAATTTTTTTTTCACTTTCAAGTAACACTAGATTTCTTTAAAGAGGCTGTGAGAGAAATCATCTTTTTATCGTGCTTCACATAAAGCTTTCTTGCACGCAACAGTCATTTTCCATGCCATCATGATACAAATGTGTTAGAAATCAAGAAAGGGAAATGGAGACATTTTAGGTAGCCTGAAGATAACCTTAAAAAATTAAGATCAATGGGTTAATTTTAGAGTAGTAGAGCATCCTTGTGAGCAAAGGGTGTCTGCAATTCTGGAGCTGTTTCACAGCTGCTCTTGTGAGTGCCCAGGCAATAGGACAGGCTTATCTCCTAATCCAAGAGACCTGGGAAGATGGCATAGAATACTCTCTCCCTGAGTTTTGTAGCAGGTGCTGTTCCTCAGCTTTTCTTTTTGGGAGTGCACAAAGCAGGCCAGGGGATACGGAGGCCAGTGAGGGGAATGATGCATCCACAGCAGAAAGCACAGAGCACTGCATCTTTTGCAATCTGTCTGTGTTTAACTGGGCAGCAATGTACTCAGCCCCAGCCCTTCTCCTGCCCCTCGCTCAGGCTCGTGTCCTCTCTGGGTGCTGAGATGCTTGGAAAAAACAGTTTGTATTTTCTGAATGGAAACTGGCTGCTGGGCAGATGCAGGGCCAGCACCCTCCTTTCTGAACCACCACCCCAGTACCTTTCTGCTTCTGTAGGAAGTCAATGGTCCTCTGCAGTATTGTGGACTTGTCCATCTTGAGAGGGTGGCCGTGGCCCTGCAGCATCGTGCAAAGCTCCTTAATGAGGACATTGAACTGGTCCCTCCTCTTCTTCTCAGATTTGTTGCGTGATGCCCTGGGTGACAAAAACATAAATGTCACTAAGCAGAATAAAGGACCTACAGCACAAACCAGGGTGAGGTGATCTACCTTGCCCCACCAAAACACTTGAAATACAAGAATGTAAACTCTTCTGAGAATGTTTATTTGTTTAAAATTGGGTTTGCACACAAAGATTTTGGTGGTACTTAGAGCCTTGTAGCAAAACTAAACTCACCAGCAGCAAGGAACTCCTGGAGGTAACACATATTTGGGTTCATTTGGGAAAGATCACATCCTTACATACATTTCAGCAACAATTCCCACTGTTTCAAAAGCAGTGATAGTGAAGGTGTTATAGAAGAAATTCTCCCAGTAAGAGAAAAGTATGTTCATGCATATTCATGTTTTGCTCACTTAAGTTTTATGGATTTTTGTTTTACAGTTAGTACACACAGATATAAATGTCAAAATGTGAAGGATTTCTCTGATTTGCACTTGCAAAAGGAGCTTATCAGGAGACAGCACTGTGCAGAGGCAACTAAACTGCAGAATAACATCTTGTTTGTGGTCTTGAAAATCTACTGCTGTGATATATGAAACTGGGAATGTTACAGGTCTGGCTGCAGAACTACAACTAGTTTTCAGTTCACAAATCAAGAATATTTATTAGGCTTTTCCCCTCCATTAAAAACAATAAAGGAGAGAGTAAATCCATTTAGTTTCTTCCAAAGTGTTCTTTCCCATGCTCATATCTGAGATAACACTTTTCATACAACCTCTTCCAGTAGTAATTAATTTGCTTTACAAGTATATTCATGATGATACATGCTTCCTGTGATCTAGACTGAGGGTGGTATGCAGAAAGCATTTCCATTCATATTCAGGTTGGCATTTGGATGTTTCCAGATCCAGCACTCAAGTTCACAGCCATCTCTGTTTTGGCACTAGTGCACAATGACTAAACAGAACTGAGCCAAGTGCTTCTCTGGCAGGAGATTAAGTCAGGCCTGTGCTAAAGCTAAGGGAACTCTACCCCAGGTGGGCAGAACTGCTTGATGCCAATAAAATCACAGGTCAGGAATCCTACTTCAGGACAATAAATAGCAATGGGACAATGGGATAGCACAAGATCCTGAGGGCACAGCAGTGTAATTTAAGGACCACTCAGCCAGATAACCCATTGTAGGGGTGGCCAAACTCTGTGAGAAGCCTGAAGGGTGACTTAAATTATGCTGCTTGTGGTCAGCTACACACAGCCTGTAAACTGTGTGGGAGCTTTGCCTCTGACATCAGTGGGGTCAAGTTCATTGTCAAGCACTGGATAACACAACATTTACAGTTCTCCTCCAGGACTGCATCCTGTTATACCTCTTTGCCCTGTCCTTCTCATCTTCATCCATCAGTTCGTTTACACAACACAGGGCTCTGCAAGGAAAACACAGAAATACTTACTGAGACATATTCCCTGATCTTGCTAAGAATGTCCAAACATGGAGTGTAGTGGTTTATACCCAAAGACTAGGATGTTTCAATCTTCCCATTCCCAGATTCCCCTTTTGGTATGTCTTTCCTTGCTTGTTCAGTCAGCTACCAAGGCATGAGAAGTGAGACTGCTGCCACGTGCCCAAACATCCATCTACAAGGACTTTAAAAGGAAAGTCTAAAATCTAGCAGCCCCTCAGCCTACCTTTGTCCTGCCCTCTGAGCAAGGATGGGGAATCCTGCTGAAGCACCCATCTCTGCACAGGAATCAGTATCTTCCTGGCAAATGCAAGAGCAAAAGAGAGAGAAATCTGACCTGGTGTCTGCTGGTCCTGTTCTGGGAAACCACACAGGCTGATTTCAATCACTGCCTGCCTTGATTGAAACATATCTGAGATTTCTTTTCCAGTGGAAAGACACAGGAGAAAGAAACTGTGCTAATCCCCTAAAGGATTTGCATTAGGCAGCAGCAGCCTGCTAGCAGGATATCTAAGAGATGAGATGATGGACAGGTTCATCCAGAGCATCCTGCAGCCAATTGCATCCAGCTGCTTGTGCTGCTGGGCTTCTCCCACATCACCTGAGCTGCGTCCTGGGATTCATACCCAAGGCTTCAGTTTAAAATATCCTCACCTGCCACTAACCAGGGAAGGAGAAGAGTTGGCAACAACTCCCAGTAAGGACACAGGACTCTCAAACCCGATTGAATGATGGAAAATTCAACACAAGGGCAACTTTTTTGCTGGTGACTGCTTTCTGTGACTCAGGGCTGAGTCTGAGGGACAGAGAGCCAGGGAGGTGCAGCTGAGGCAGCTGCTGTCACTCCACACCACATTGCCCAGGTCAACTCTGCTGGATTGCACCCCTTCAGACACCTCCAAAGAGGAAATCACACCCATCCCCACCACCAGAACCAATCTGCTCCCCACCTCCACTGAGCACTTTTCCTGCAAAACGCCCCATGCTGCCCAGAACTCAAGGGGCATTTTTCAATAGGTACATCCAAAAATTTTTCTCTGTTTAGACACTACTCCAAGTTCAAACAACTCGGCAGCTATAAAAATAACACAAAACAGAACCACCCACAACTGTCAGGAAGTCAGGAATCCTGCTCATAGCAACAGCTACAAAATTTTATCCTTCCTTCCCTGCTCCAGGGCAAGGATCTCCCTCCCTGCAGATGACCTGGGCAGAAGATACTGTATGATTTCTCTTGTTATGAATGCATTCCATAGAGAGGGAGTGGTTCTCACTGCCTGAGTCACTAAAAGCTACAAGCCAAATTAGAAATTACCTGTTCTATTCCTCAGATTCATCAGTCCAGACTGACAGAGTGGGATTAGCGCTTCTTATCACCATGTAAATAGAGATGGAGAAAAATTAATCCTGGAAGGAAAAGCAAGTCCAGTTAGAACACAGTTGCAGGTAAGACTTAGCCTAGACAGCTGCAATCACCTCAAGCTGAGAAAAGTCTGCTATCACAAGTTAGAACCATGCTCAGGTATGACTGATGAAAGCTCAGCAAAGAGATGGGAGTTGGACCAAGTTCTTGGGCTTCTGGCTCTGTGGCACAACCTACTGCCACAGAAGCAGCCTGGGAAGGCCAGTGTGACCTCCCATGTCCAAAAAGCTGTGTGACCCAGCAGGGTGGCAGAGTGGCCCTACTGGCTTGGAGCCACTGAGGATCAACTGGAGTTCTTCCAAAGTATGACAATTTACCTGGTGTGCTGTGAAAACCAGAAGTATGACCTGTGCCTCATCTATCAAATGTTGCAACCAAAGCCTCCTTCAAGACAAGCATGATCAGCAAAGTCAGCACAAGCCACAACCACCCACCTGTGAATGGATTCAAGTCTTCCCCTTAATACTTGCTACTGATGGGACACGCAAAATCTTGGGAAAATATCATATAACTCCTGACACTCTCAGTGAAGCTACAACTGGAAACAGCTCCTGCATAGCAAACTTCAGCTCAGGGGATCTGCTGTGTCTGTTCTCACAGTGGTGCTACCCCAGACATGCTTTACTCAGTTCAAAAGGAGTGTGTGACCTTATGTGTTACCCTGCAGAGCTGAGGCTCCTGTCCCTGCTGCTCATCCCTCACTGCTGTTCTGTCCAAATCACTCAGTTGTTTCTTCTCTAGAAGAATGTCTCCTACAGAGGATTTGGTGACTGAGCATAAGTTCAAAAATACACAGATATAAAGAAAAGTCTTTTTAAAGCAATGGGTTAAATTATGAAAAAATGCTTGTGGATACACAGAAAGATCAATCAAAAATTATCAGGGAACGTTCTTTGTGTGCAGACTTGACCATGCAAAAATTCAGCTAAAGAAAAGGGTTTTTCCCAAGTCTGGAGTGAAAAGCATTATTTTATAGAAACTGTATTTTATGGAAACTTTGCCCACAGGTTGTCTAACAACTGAAAGCTCCCAGGAAGCCTGGTGGGTTTCCTGCCTCATTAGAATGGTTGGCCTCCCACCCAGCTGGAATAGCAGCAAGTGGAGGGAAGCTGTTTGGTCACCAAGAGTCAACAATACAGCTAATGCTCTCTGAGCCTCAACTGGGAAATGAAGCCTGGATTCTCCAGTCTCCAGGAGGAGCTATCATGTCAGGGACAGAGGAATGAGGCTTCCTAATGAATGTGAGCAAAGCCCTCAGCCAACACCAGACTTGGAAGAGCTCACAGAATAAAAGTCGTAAAAGAATTCACAGGCCCAACCACATAGAGCAGCTTTTTCATGATGCAGCAGGACGGTGAGCAAGAAAAAGTTTTAGCAGAAGACACCTAAGGACAAAATAATCTTAACTGGATTAGGCACTTCAGGGCTGCATTTAGCTAAGTGCTTTTTGTCTTGTAAGACAGAGCTAAATATAGTAACCAGAATACTTAAGAATAGTTTCATAAGGATTGTATACATTCCTCAGCCAGCTAAGACACTTAGCACTACTGACAGCAGTATGTCTGCAGGTTAAGAGTATTTTAAATAGATCCAGATAGAATCTCTTTGACCTTAACTGCATTAACCAGAGGGATCAAAATTTATTTATTGCCTCCTGAAAATCCCCTTCTGTAACACTTTGAGAGAGCAATTCCAGAACTCTGCGGGCAGGTAAAGAGGAAACTTGTCAGTGCTCCTGGCATTGTTTCTCACCCCCTACAACAGGTGAGGATCAGGTTTCTCACAAAGCAATGCACATCCATCACTGCTTAATGCCCTCTTTCAGGGGAAATTATTTTTTCCTTCCTTTGTACAGGGAGTCTCAAAAACCACTCATAGCATTCTAAGGGTACATTATACATCAGACTTTTCAAATATCACAGCTTTTGAAGTTGTTTCCAGGGTTACAGAAAGTGTAATGTAGCCAAATGACAGCCTTCACAAGACAAATGGACTTTGCAGTCAGCAACTAATAGTTAAAGCATTATTCCGTGCTATCTGCTATATTCTGGCACATTTTTTACTGAAGAGAGAATGGCAGAGGGAGAGAAAACAGCAGAACTCTCTGACTTCAGGAGCTATCTAAAACTGCAAACCTGTGAGTAAAGAAAATGTTTATTTATTGACTTGCTACAAGCCATCAAAATATTAACATTACCTTAGGATAATTCTTAATGGAACAGTCAGATTTGTGTCCTGAAACCAGCAGTTCCTATGAATGTTTCATTATAGGTTAAATTTTAGTTATTTGGTTATGACACGCGTGGCAAGGCAGAGATACTTCTGTGAGAGATGCTGCCCATTTCTTTGTCATCAGCAATGAATAAAGCTTTCACCTAAAAGTGTCCCTGAATCCAGATGATTTGATTGCTTTTTCCAGCTATAACAACTGGTCTAATGAAAAACATTCTCTATGCATAGAAACTTTGTTCTGCTTTTATTTGAGTTTCCATAGAATTTCTCATTAAAGAATTTTGCATTAACTCATACAGCAGTTAGGGAGTCTTCAAATCTATACCATAGGAAACACTTTAATTATGGAAATGTGCTGTGCTAATAATTTTCACAGACTTTGCATGCAATAAATTCACCAGAGAGCCCTTAATTACAAGATACAGCACTTCGTGGCACAATGCAGTCACAAATAAGAGAGATAACACATTCTCCAGCAATATGTTTTACACGTCAGTACACCAATGTTTCATTATTCTTGAGGCAACAGGAGGGCACAACTGTGGTTGGCAGCAAAACAGCTGATTTCATTTTTAAAAGGCAGAATTTAACCTCTTCACTAAAGTGCTGGTTCAACTCTAAGATGCTTATGTAGATGGCATTTGAAAACCCAAGCAGTGTGGCTGGGTCCCTGTGGCTGTTCAGCATAGGAAGGATCAGCATCTCTGCTGATGCCCAGCAGCCCTGAAGGCACAGCCTGGCTGTGCCACTCACCCCATGCTGCCAGCCACCCTCCTGTCACACAGACAGATGTTTGCCCCAGTGTCACAGAAGTGGGCAAGAGCAGCAGCAGCAGCTCAGCACTGCTCTGGCATCCCCATCTGCCACAGCACCCACAGGGCACGGCCTCACCACTGCTGTGAGAAACACAGAAACACAGAGACCTAAACCAGGTGTGGCAAAGGAGTTGCATATCTGTGTTATTTGATCTGCTTGCTAAATTTTTTCTGCCTCTATTTCATCCTCTCCTTTCCTTGCCATGCCTTGCCTTCTGTTCTTCACTCTTTTCTGCCCTTCCCTCACTTATTGGATCACCATTCAGAGAATTGGATCTCTTTTGAATATGGTTTCTCTCCATCTTGTTCCTTATATGACCTGCCTTGATCTTTCCATTGCTATTTCTTCTCTATGTTCTTCACTTTCTTCTTCTGGAAAGAGAAGGAATGTACAGTGATCTCAGTTTTGACAAGCACCCAGGCATCTCATGTTGGGAACTTGGCTTGCCCAGGTCTGAGGCAGGCAAGACTGACAGCTTCCCTCTATGGACACACCACCTGAGGAATCAAGCTGTGTCCAGCCCCAGGAGCACTGGGTCCTGCCCTGCCTGGCAGCTCCCAGTCCCAGTTTCAGACCCTCTTTGGAGGAACTGGGATCTCCCTCAGGTCAGTGGCAGAGCTGTGCAGCTCCAAGCTTTACACAAGCATCCATGGGAAGGGGTCCAGCAGAGCACACCACCCACAGCAGCCACACACTCTGCATCTCTTTGGGGCTACCATGATTCTACTTGGACTTTCACACATCTTTGTTTGCTAGAACGTGGCTGATGGTGGTCGCTGGGGGAGGGAACCAAATGTTCTGGGTTTCCCCTTTGTTAACTTGCCATAAGTGGACTTTTTGTGCTACTATTGTACCTGTTGCATCCCAAAACACTTATCTACAGCATACTCTCCCCTGGTTTATTGAGCTCTAAATTTAGCTTGTTACCTGTGACAGATTTATGACTATATTTATTATAGCAACTCCAGACAGAAGCTAAAAAGTGTCCAAAGAAAATGGATTTTACAGAACAATTATACCATAGAAAAGGCTGTAATGGAACACTGTGATTCAGCACAAAAGTGAAATGAAACATGCAGGCAGGAACAATGGTGGTGTGTTGGATTTTTTGTGTTTTGTTTTTGTTTTGGTTTTTGTTTTGTTTTTAACCAATTTATGGTGCTTCTGCAAAACGAAAGGCAGAAAAGGATTAAAAACTAACAGATACTTGAAAAGAAAAGATAACTGGAACATTTTGTTCTCTAGGATTTTTGTCAGATCCTGGAGAAAATAGCTGTCCAAGTTTGCTCTGTTCTAGCAAATTGCTGAACCTTGCAGGGTAAAGATGCAACATTGTAGAATATTATTCAAAATGTCTCTGGGGTTTCTGTAACAAGAAGAACATGCATCTAATTAATTCTACCAATTTGTCTAATGGCCCCTTAAAATTCCCAAAACATGGCAAAAAGCAGAATGCTGATTCACAACCCTAAGAAATACAAAACTGTACTTTTAGCACAAGCAAAATAATATTTCTTCTGCAGTCTTGGATGTATACCTGTGTTCATTTGTTGCTATTCAGTTACTACAGGAAAGGTAAATAAATGTGTCTTGTGATATGAAATGCTGATATCCAACCTATACACAATTCTTTACCACACCTGACTCAGACAAAGACACAAATAATCCTCAAATAATAACAGGACTCTCCCTCACACGGGATGAGAACAAAGGTAGTTGCTCACAGTCAATCCTTCAGCAGCAGTTGAGATTATGTATTTTCAGGGAACTACTTCCAGGAAAGGTACACAGAGCTAAAGAGAAAGGAGGTATATTTAAAGTGAATGGTCAAAAGTCTTTTGAACAGAATATTCTCCAAAACTTCCAGCTCTTAAATCTCTGTTTCTAGCTGATCCAAATGATGCAAATGCATGTGTGTGGGGGTGAGTGCATAAAC